GATCATACTCCCAGGGAGTCATATCTTAACTAGACAGTCTAGCGCGAGTCCATACCGAAGTCTTAGTATTGTAATTAGTTATTTCTTGTGTGTGTATGTGTTGTAATAAATGTTATTTTACAAATCAACTCGAGTCGTTGGTGTTTAAGTACCCCCACGATAATATCAAGGGACCGCGGCACAAACCACGTGCGATTCAGGCCTTACAACCCTGATAGGTCGAAGTTCTACCTCGCGATCCCGAAGTATTCAACATATGGTCCTTCGAGCCGGATTACGCCCGGTTTAATCATTCAGTCTACGAGCTACATAACAACAGTTAGTGAAGGAGTGATTGTGACAGTGAAAACCAAGCAAGAGGAATCGAATCCAAGGTCGACATCGCCAGGCGAACAGCGCGTACCACTACTTGCCACGTCGTTTCACGGTCGTTCTCTACATCCTCCAAGGTTTCACGAGCTGCATAACCATGGCTCTTTCGGCAGATCAACAAAAAATCAAGGAACGGCTACTCCGTAAGCGAGCATACATCAAAGGTCAGTTCACATCATACAGAAAGCAACTGAGCTTGCAAGGCGAAGGCCCAGGGCCTGAAAAACTCGCCATCTTCAATGAGCGTCTCGCAAGTCATTTCTCTGAACTCGATCGCATAACGGATGATTTAGAAGAGCTAGAACCTACCGCTGATCACTCGTCAATTCGCGCCGCGTTAGAAGAAGAATATTGCGACCTCATCGCAAGTATTCGACAACTTGAACGCAGAACGCATGCATCAACGTCTTCCGAAATAAGCAACGGAGCTACCGAAATTCGGTCATCCCCCAGTCCGTTTCATACAACGACGAATACAAGTCATGCCATAACGCGTCTGCCAGAGCAATCTCTTCCGAAATTCGACGGGAAATACGAGGACTGGCTTAGCTTCAAGGACGACTTTCAATCATCTATCGGTCAACGTTTAGATTTATCTGACACGCAAAAACTCAAGTACTTACGGTCATGTCTCCGAGGAGAGCCAGAACGTTTACTAAGAAGCTTTGATACGACGAACGCGAGCTATCAAGGAGCGTTAGATTTATTAAAGGAAACGTTCGAACATAAAAATAAAATTGTTGATCGACACCTCTCTGCAATCTTCAACATACCAGTCATGCAGAAAGAGTCGGCCGCAGAACTCAGTGCGATGATAAACACAGTCCAACTACATTTATCCGCACTGAAATCGCTCGACATATCAATCGAACAGTGGGATCCCATCCTCATTCATATCGTCCTTAATAAATTCGACAAAGCAACACGGCGAGAATGGAGACGAACTCAGCAAAGTAACGTACTTTCATCATTCGCCGAGCTGACTTCGTTCATACGTAGAACCGTACTATCATCAGATGATACCGATTCCATTCGTTCAGCAAGGGAAGAGAAGGTGAATGATTCAAAGAAGGGCAAGGTTAAGGTTAGTCATCAAGCTGCGAGGAGTCAGGAAACTCCAAGGACGCAGTGTTTCACTACCGCGGCCACCAAAGAATGTCCGATATGCAAAGGGGCACAGCATCATGTTCTCCGATGCCATAAATTCAGAACCTTACCTCCAAAAGAACGACGCGAGGCAGCTGTAAGGATCCGACTGTGTCTCAATTGTCTCAAGGAAGATCATACAACCGAAAAATGCGATTCAAAATACACATGTATGGTTTGCAAGGGGAAGCACCACACGTGGTTGCATCACTCTGAAGCAACCCAATCTTCTCCTCCGACACGGGATTCTCACGAAGCATGACTAGACCATCCCAAAGTTTCCACCGATCCCTCCGACACAATCTCATTCGTTACTAGCGTCATACCGAGAGACTTATTGGTGACCGCCGTTGTAAGAGTTGCTGATGTAAATGGATCATACCACCTGCATAGAGTACTTTTGGACACCTGTTCAAATTCCAATTTCATGACCGACAGGCTAGCCAATTCGCTCGGTCTCCCGAAGGAGAAATGCAGCATCCCCATCAGCACGATGAACAAAACGCGAAGTGCCACCAATTATCTAGTCAAGGCGACAATAAGATCAAGGCTTAACGACTTTACAAGGATGTTGAGCTTTCTAACAGTGATGGATATTGCCGGGCTAGTACCAGACGAAAGAATCTCGCGAAAAAATTTACATCTACCGCTGAACAAGCCGCTTGCAGATCCTCAGTTCGACCAGCCAGGAGAAATAGATATGCTGATAGGATCCGGGACAACTCTCTCCACATTATGTGTCGGACAGGTAAAATTATCAAAACCATCAGAACCAGATTTGTACTTACAAAATACTCGTTTGGGATGGATCATCGGTGGCAACGTCTCGGAGAGAAGTGCGGTTCCAGAATCCAGTAACGACCATCGATGTCTTTTGACCAATTTGGAAAGGATCATGAGACAGTTTTGGGAAATAGAAGAACCAACCAAGAAACCTCACCTTATCGAATCGGACTGTGAGGAACACTTTCGGCAACACGTTATCCGCGACGACAATGGGAGGTACGTCGTCGCTCTTCCGTTCAACAACAGGAAGTCCGAACTCGGCCAAACCCGAGCAATGGCCGAAAAACGGCTCGCATCCATCGAGAGGAAACTGCGACGTGATGCAAATCTTCACGTACAATACGCTGCTGTCATTGAAGAATATCTCACCCTTGGGCATATGACACGGAAACCCGACGAGCAGATAACCGAGGGGTATTTTCTGCCGCACCACGCCGTCGTAAAGGAATCCAGTCAAACTACCAAGGTGAGAGTAGTATTTGACGGATCAGCGAAATCAACTACAGGAATATCGTTGAACGACACCCTACTAGTCGGCCCAACCATTCAAGACGACATCTTCTCTCTCCTTCTGAGATTTCGCTCACATAATTACGTGTTAACTGGAGACATTGAGAAGATGTATCGTCAGTTCCTAGTACGTGAAGAAGATAGGGCATATCAACGGATACTCTGGCGGGATGCTGACGGTCAAATCGCAATTTACGAATTGAATACTCTTACGTTTGGTTTATCTCCAGCTCCATTCTTAGCAATCCGTTGTCTCCACCAACTAGCCAATGACGAAGGTCAACAATTCCCACGAGCAGCTGAAGTCATCAAAAATGACATGTACGTTGATGACCTGTTAACTGGCGCAGAGACCTTCGAGGAAGCAATCATTTTACGAAATGAAATCGATGCATTACTCCGACGAGGCGGGCTCAACCTGAGGCAATGGGCATCAAACGATATAAAGCTGCTCGAGGGCTTACCAGCAAGTCACGTAAATCTAAGGCTACAATCCAAGGAGGACAGCACTATTAAGACATTAGGAGTGCATTGGAATTCGGAGCACGATTCCATCATATACACTGTTCATCCTACTCCACTAACAGGCCGGGTAACCAAAAGGATCATCTTGTCAGACATCGCGAGAGTATTTGACCCTCTTGGGCTTCTGGGTCCCGTAATCACGCACGCGAAACTCATAATGCAACGCCTCTGGTTGGAACATTTGGATTGGGATGATGCCATACCACTTTCGATTTATACCGAATGGATAAATTACATATCGCATCTCCCGAAACTGAATCATCTCTCATTCAGCCGCAAATTCGTTCCAGCCGCAGCAGAGGACATACAACTGCACGGTTTCTGCGACGCGAGTGAGAAGGCCTACGGCGCGTGCATCTATGCAAGAGCGATCGACAAGCACAGAAGAGTGACCTCTACATTGTTGTGCGCAAAAAGCCGCGTTGCACCACTAAAAGGTGTGGGGACCAGCAAGCTTAGAAGTGGTGAAGGAGATCGAGAGCATGTGGAACACGCAACGATTCCACGCCTGGAGTTATGCGCAGCGCAGCTCCTGGCCAAACTTTACGCAACTGTGCGTCACGCCACGAGGTTGGAGCCAAACAAGGTGATCTTCTGGAGCGACTCTACCATCGCACTTCACTGGATCAGAACATCACCACATCAGCTACAGCCGTTTGTCGCCAATCGCGTTTCCGACATTCAGAAACGCACCAATATAGATGACTGGAGACATGTACGAACGAGAGACAATCCCGCTGACTTAATCTCACGAGGTCAAACTCCAGCGGAATTTATTCTCCCATCTATTTGGAAACATGGACCTGCTTGGTTACTAGACGCGGAAGAAGATTGGCCACGACTTGGGCTACCCAGCCTGGAGAGAGTTCCTGAGTTAAGAAAGATAAAGTGCTTAACAACGCCGATTCACAATGAGCTACTTACCCGATATTCGTCGATCGTGAGATTACGACGAATAGTCGCATACTGCAGAAGATTTAAATCGAAAAATAAGGGGCTGCTCTCCAGCACGGAGCTTCAAGAAGCGGATCGCGTGATCCTTAAATTGACGCAAGCAACTGATTTTGCCGAAGAATTACACGATCTCCAGGAGAACAAATGTGTAGACAAGAGAAGCAAACTTAAATCTTTAACGCCATTTCTCGACGAACACGGACTCATACGTGTCGGAGGAAGGTTGAGACACTCTTCAGCCTCCTTCAGTCAAAAACACCCCATCATAATGCCACGAGGGCATCATATTACGAAACTCGTAATCATGTACGAACATTTGCGCAATTACCACTCAGGAGTGCACGCAACATTATATATACTACGACAAAAATACTGGATAGTCGACGGTCGGAGTCAGGTCCGACTAGTTATCCGAAGCTGCATCCGCTGTCATCACGTCGATCCACGGACCACGAGCTGCCGAATGGGTGACTTACCAAGGGTTCGTGTGACTGAAGCACGACCGTTTCTCAACGTGGGTGTCGATTACTGCGGCCCATTCTTCATCAAAGAAAAAAAATTCAGAAACCGCAATAGAGTAAAAGTATATGTAGCTGTCTTTGTCTGTCTCACGGTCAAGGCAGTACATTTGGAACTCGTCAGTGATATGACGACTGAAGGATTTATAGCAGCATTGAAACGATTTGTCGCTAGGAGGGGACTTTGTCAAAACATCTACTCGGACAACGGCACAAACTTCGTCGGTGCAAACAGCGAGTTGAACGAAATTAGACAACTTCTCCAATCCAAGGAGCATCAAGACGCGACATTCAATTATCTGGCTGAACGAAACATAAATTGGCATTTCATACCGCCACAATCTCCAAATTTCGGAGGAATTTGGGAAGCGGCGGTTAAATCCTTTAAACGTCACATGAAACGAGTCATCGGTGATCAATTATTCACCTTCGAGGAGCTGAATACTTTTATTATCGAAGTGGAAGCCATCCTAAATTCGCGTCCATTGACGCCAATTTCATCTGATCCGAACGATCTACTGGTCCTTACACCAGGGCATTTTTTGATCGGCAACCCTTTGGCTACAACACCGGAACTGAATTTATCACAAACGCCAACCAACCGCCTATCAACATGGCAACATATCCAGAAGGTCAAACAAGACTTCTGGAAACGATGGAAGACAGAGTACCTGACGGAGCTCAACACTCGTCATAAATGGACTCACGGTACGCACAACATCAAACCGGACACGCTAGTGCTCATCAAGGAGGACAACCAACCCCCATTACGCTGGCCAATGGGTAGGGTCGTCGAATTAATTCCAGCCGCCGATGGAATCACCAGAGTTGTTCGAATCAGAACGAGCAAGGGCATCTTCACACGGAACGTCCGTAATCTTGCTCCTTTACCCATGGAGCCAACAACTGAAATTCCGATTAATCCATGAAATTCTTGATCGGTACCCTCTCAAGGGGGGAGTATGTTCCGTCGAGTATACGGAATATTCTGTAGTCCTACATTGTATATTGTAAGAACCGTTATCTTCAAACTTCTCAACAGCTCAAGGCCCCCGGTCTCTCCGAACATAA